GAAAGATAATAAACAAAAGCTTTTATCGCTCGTAAGGTTTTTATTAACAAAGTAATAAAAAAAATTTCTTATAAAACGTGAATTTGACAATAGAGATTCGAGTAACATTAACAATGTCAAAACACAGTAAATAAAAGAAATTCTTATAAAACTGGGATTCGACAATATATAATAATATGAAAAAAATTATCATAAAATATTGATTCAGCAAAAGTGATTAATGTAATATTGTTTCACCCATTCCGGAAACGCGATAAACAAAAAAAAATTAAGTATTGGATTCATGATGAAAGACGACAATTTTAATTAAAAAAAATTAGGGTTTGTACTTTCAAAATTAAAATCTCCTTTGTACAGTAATTTGTTTTGCATGATTTTTATGTCAAAATTATCACAATATTATCAGCAACAAAAGCCCCAAATTAATTTCAAGATTAATCAAAGAAAACACAAAAAACTTAAATTGATCTATTAGAGCTCATTATATGTATCAATATATTTTTCTAACAATGATAATATCACTGACATATCAGAATTAGACAGGCTCTGATACCATTTGAAGGAAAAAAAATTATAATCTAATTCTTAATATGACAAGTGATAAAGAAATACTATAATGAGATCAGTGTTAGAATTATCCGGAATAGTTGAAGTTGATGAGTCCATGACTGAGTGCTTTCTATGATTGATGAAAGAGACACAAAACAGAGAGAGAAAACTCCTCCTATCACCCTTTCAGATCTTTCACGTAAGTTGTCTCAATGGGGCAACAGTTACTCTGAAGTGATTAAGAGCAGGGGCCTCTCTGGTTCATAATCAAATGGGTTAAACCTACCCACTATGGCTTAATCTAATAATAATAATCATACAACCATATCCGCTGATAAGCCCAATAACAATAATTATTTATAATATGGGCTAAACATAATTCAATAATTTTGACATCTAAAGAGATTCAGATACTGAGTTAAAAGAAAAGGTGAAAATGTCCAATCCAATCCAATAGGCTAAGGTAGAGTCATAAAAAAATCAACATTTTATGTTGCTTGCCACTGATGGATTTTGGAATTTTACGTTTTCGGGCCAGTATAAACAAAAAGAAACTTTTATGTTCCAATTATATAGTTGCAAACTTCTTGTTTGGCTATGCTTATAATTATCATTTCTCCCATAGCTATAAACGTTGAGTTAAAGAGAAAATTAATTAAAATCACAATATATTGTCATCATAAAAAAAGTGAGAAATATTTAGAGTCAAGACATATTTTGATGAAAAACAAGATATTAAGACTTAAATAAATTTTATTTTATATCATGAGTTTATTAAAACACATCAATATATACATTACTCTTAACTTGCAACAAAATGAAATAATCTGTAAGATTAAAAAAAATATTTTTACCCAACAAACAATATCATTAAGTGGTTGCAAAGTAGAGAAACAACTATGTTGTAGTCTCAAAGTAGCTATATTAATGTATCCTATCAATTGTAATATATATATATATATATATATATATATATATATATATAAGTTAGATTCTTTTAAAGAATTAGTTAATTTTGTATTTAATAAAAAATTATTAAGTAGGATACAAATTTGACATATGATGTTAATAGATCTTAACTCATATATAATACATGTTGAAAACTATTTTATTCCAATTATAACATGGTATAAGTTGAATAACTCTTACTTTGTGAGTCTATTGGCTGTTAAGGAAATACAATTGTTGCTTTTATGTTGTTATTTTTCTGTTTCAATTCAGTTAAATGGTTGTTTAGTTGTAGTCCTATTTCTTAAGAATATGTAAATAAAGGTTAGATCATTTTATATAACCACCTACGTTATTGAACATGTAAATCGTGAATGCAGTTATAAAGCCAATATGCGACTCTGAATTCAATAACACATTCCTTTAGCATATATATTTAGTGCTGTACATCCTTTGTTCAACAATTGGTATTAGAGCTCTTTACAGGGGCCTGATCTTGAATCTAATTGAGTGTGAGAGAAACAGTGTGTGTGTGGAAAGAAACCGCATATTTCTTTCAAAGAGAGTGTGAGAAAAAAATGGCAGAAAGTAGTAATAGCAAGTATGTGCAACCTGCCATCCCAAAATTTGATGGTCATTATGACCATTGGGCAAAATTAATGGAAAAATTTCTTTGTTCCAAAGAGTATTGGAATCATGTAGAGAATGGGATCTTAGTAGTACCAGATGGAGCAGCAGCTTCAGAGACAAAACTTAAACTGATGGAGGAGTAGAAGTTAAAGAACTTGAAGATAAAAAAAAATTATCTTTATCAAGCTATTGATCATGAAATTTTGGACACCATCCTTAATGATGACAAGTCCAAAAACATTTGGAATTCAATGAAGCAGAAATTCCAAGGTTCTATCAGGGTGAAGAGAGCACAATTGCAAGCCTTGTGAAGAGATTTTGAAGTTCTGAGGATGAATGAAGGTAAGATGGTTAATTTCTATTTTGCTCGTACATTAAAAATTGAAAAAAGTATGAAGGCATCTGGTGAGAGTATGTGTGAGAATGTCATCACTGCAAAAATCTTGAGGTCCATGATTTCTAAATTTAATTATGTCGTGTGCTTGATTGAGAAATTCATCAATTTAGAGACCATGACAATTGATGAGTTGTAGAGTAGTCTTCTTGTTCATGAGCAAAGAATGACCTACCATGAAGAAGAAGAACAAGTACTGCAAATTACTAGTGAGGATAGAGGAGGAAGAGGAAATTGAAGAGGGAGAGGCTTTTCCAAAGGTGGTCGAGGTAGAGGAAGAGGAATACAATTCTTAAACAAAGTTGAAATTGAGTGTTTTAAGTGTCACAAGTTTGGTCATTTTCAATATGAATGTTCTAGCTGGCAAAGAAAGAAGATGAGCTCTTGCTAATGGCCTATTTTGATCTCAAACAAGGCAAGAAGGAAGATGAATGGTTTCTTGACTTAGGGTGCAAGTAACCATATGAGTGGAGACAGGAAGTGATTTTTAGAGATGGATGAAAGCTTTAGACACACTATAAAGCTTGGCAATAATACTAGAATGGTTGTGATGGGGAAAGGCAATGTTCGCTTGAATGTTAATGGAGTTATACACTTAATTTCAAATGTTTATTATGTTCTTGAACTCAAGAACAATCTATTAAGCATATGACAGCTTCAAGAAAAAGGCCTAGCTATTTTAATTTAGAATGGGAAGTGTAAAATTTATCATCCTAGAAGAGGGCAAATTATGGAGACTAAAATTAGTGGAAATAGGATGTCTTTTTTTTGGTAGCTACTATGGTACCGAAAAATCCTACATGTTTTCAGAAGATGATGAATCTCTTCTTTAGCATTATCAATTTGGTTATTTAAGCTATAATGGCTTGAGGACACTTTCTTCTAAGAAGATGGTAAATGGGATACCCTTTATCTAGAACCCAAAGAATCTATGTACATATTGCTTAGTAGGAAAACAACATTGAAGCTCCATGCCGAAAAAAAATTTGTGGAGAGCATCAAACAAGCTTCAACTTGTACATGCAGAGACATATGTGGACTTATCAAACCATCTTCAAACAATAACAACAGGTATATCCTAAGTTTTATTGATGACTTTTCTCATAAAACTTGGATTTACTTCTTAAATGAAAAGTCAGAAGCATTTTTTATGTTTAAAAGTTTCAAAGTCTATGTTAAAAAAGAAACAATGTGCATGTATTACTTGTTTGAGGACAGACAGATGTGGCGAATTCACCAAGAGCATGATACAGCAAGATAGAGACTTACTTTATTCGTAAAGACTTTGAAAGGTGTTTCTGTGAACATACATTGTTTACAAAGTCAAAGGCGGAAGGTAAAATTTTAATTGTAAGCCTTTATGTTGATGATTTGATATATACTGAAAATTATTGGAGCATGTGTGATGAGTTTAAAAGTTGAATAATGTCAGAGTTTGATATGTCTAATTTAGGAAGGATGAGGTATTTTCTTGGAATAGAAGTTATGCAAAGTTCAAATGAAATTTTTATATGTCAAAGAAAATATGCTTGTGAGGTTCTAGCAAAGTTTGGCATGGAGAATAGTAATGTAGTAAAAAAATTCCATTATTTCAGGCACAAAACAATCAAAAGATGATGCAGGAACCAAAGTTGATTCAACCATGTTCAAGCAAGTAGTTGGCAGCCTTATGTATGTGACTGCAACATGCCCTGATCTAATGTATGTAGTAAGTTTAATTAGTAGATTTATATCTTGTCCTACTAAGTTTCATTGGCTTGCAGTAAAACGAATATTAAAGTACTTGAAAGGAACAACTGAACTGAACTAGGCATTTTGTATAAGAAAGGTGGAACTACATATATTATGGCATACTCTAACAGCAACTTTGCTGGAGATTTAGATGATTGAAAAAGCACTTCTGGCTTTATGTTTTTACTTGGTTCCAGAGCAGTTTCGTGGTCTTCAAAGAAACAACATGTAGTGACACTGTCTACTACCGAGGCTCAGTACATAGCAATTGCATTTGTGTGTGTCAATGTGTTTGGCTTAAAAAGGTGTCGGGGAAACTTGGCCTTAAAAAGCATAAGAGCTCTATGATTCTGTGTGACAATTCAACCGTACAATTATCCAAGAATCTAGTATTTTATGGTAAAAGCAAACATATTAACATAAGATTTCATTTTTTGAGAGACTTGGTGAAGGATGGAGTTGTTAGGTTGAACTACTGCAATTCACATATTCAAGTTGCAAACATAATGACTAAGCCTCTTAAATTAGAACAATTCTTAAGGTTTTGTAGTATGCTAGGATGATTGAAGCTTCAGAACTAAACTAAATGCTATAGCATATAGTTTAAGGATGGGAACGTTGACTGATAGGAAATATAATTGTTGATTTTATGTTTTTTTTTTTTTTTTTCAATTCAATCAAATAATTGTTTAGTTGTAGTCCTATTTTTTAAGAATAATATGCAGATAAAGATTCGATCAGTTTATATAATCGCCCACGTTATTGAACATGTAAATCGTGGATGCAGTTATTACTTTATTTGTAAGGCTATAAAGCCAATATGCGACTTTAAATTTAATCACACATTCCTTCAGCGTATACATTTAGTACAGTACGTCATGTGTTCAACATCACCGTCATTCTTGCGTCGATCTTTTTTGCCATTGCATTGATGACTGCTTTTTCACTCAGATAAATCATCGTACTTTCAATATCTGATAATTTAATGCTGGTTACTCAACCCCCCACAAGTGAAAATTATAATTCATGGATTATATCTACGAAAATTGCTTTACATGCCAAAATCAAAATCTAATTTCTTGATGGCACAATGCCTAAGCCTGATTATTTTAACCCTCGCTTGCTTCTTGGCAAAGAACCAACAACACAGTCAACTTTTGGATCCTCAATTCTATTTCAAAAGAACTCATGGCCAGCACCATCTATTGTTATTCAATTGCTATATTCTGGAAAGATCTTCAAGATCGATTCAAACAACATAATGGCCCTCACACATACCAACTCAAGAAAGACTTGGTTTTGTCCAAGGTTCCATGACAGTCACCCAATATTTCACACAGCTAAAAGAAGATATTTGGGAGGAATTCATTGATTTTTGTCCACTCTGTCCATGCACTTATGGTGGTGCTTGAGCATTACTAGTGTTCTCAACAAGTACATGTTCTAACATTTCTCATGGGTCTCAATGATTCTTTTTCATCTGTACGAAACCAGATCCTTATCATGGATCCACTGCCTCCAAATTTTGAAGTCTTTTCATTCGATCTTCAAGATGAAAGATAGAAAGTTATTGAAATTTTGAACTCATTAGTCTTGGATCCTCAAGCTGCATTCACTGTCATGAACATCGATTTTAAGACACAAGATCATAAAACCATATTTTGAAAGACATAAAATGTTCTCACAGTCAGGCACCATAAAAGTTATCTTTTAACTTTATCCTTTTATTTTTTTAGAAGAGTATTATTTATCGTAATTATAACCTTTATTTTTAGATCACTTTTAAATATTTAGTATACTTTTATAAATCTTATCAATTATTTAATTATTTTATTGTCAAAATAAAATGTTATCTTTCATTTCTTAATTTTTATAGTTGAAATGGTTAATTTTACATTTGAGTCATCATGTTTTAGGTATATGTACTCGTGTGCAGATGTACTCATGCCCATGGAGACATATCTTCGTACGTCACGCACACACATATATATTAAATATTATTTATACTTAAATTGACTGAATTAATTATTTTTAATTTTAATTTGATTAATAAAAATTTGAAGCTACGGAAACATACAGTTCAGTTATCTTAAGAGTTGCTGACTTATATTGATGCAGCATTGAATGAGCTTATTCAGAGGATAACTAAAGGGGCATTGTATGACAATCTTCACTGTTGATGTTGATGGCAGCTAAGAAATCAAACTCCACCTAGAGCTTACAAAAGCCTCTTACAATAGAAGTCAGTGTTTTAGGTAAGATCCCCCAAAGTTCAGCACAAAGAGTTGCATTTTTCCACAAGTAAATTTGTAACGTGCCCAATAATCTGGAATGAGCAAAAACAAAAAATGAAAGTACTTTATCACCCAAAGGAAAATGTGGGTAAATTGTAAATAAAAATGGACTAGTCATGATTAAATTTTTTTTACATCATATAAATATCTCCATATATATCGTTCGAATAATAAGTTTTAAGTACAAAGATGCAATTTAGCTAAAAAAAAAAAAGTACAAAGACGCAAGGATTCATGATAAGACAAAACAACACGTAGAAATCGGTAGGGCAATTACAATAAATTTTTATTTTCATTTTTGTTTCTCTAAAGAATTTTGGTTTTTTTATTTAAAAATAGAAAAATTTGTATTTTCTCATGCTTAGAAATAGAACTTACAAAATAAGAAAAATAAGAATGAAGTGAAAAATGTCAAAACACGTAGTAAGAAAAGTCACTGTAAAAAAAGTTACTTAACGTGGTTTTGTTAGAGTTTAGAGTTTATTATTCTACTTAGAAAAAGTAAATAACAAAAAATAATAATAAGGGTGTAGGAAAAAAGTGTCAAAATACAATACAAGAAAAATCACACAACAAAAAAAGTGAAAAAATCGAGAAAATGTTACTTGATCTACTTTTGTGCAAGTTCTTGTTTACTCCCTAATTTTTGCTTTATGTTTTCATTTTTGTTAGCTTTTCTGAGCTTCTAACTATGTTATTTCTTCTCTGTCTGTCTAATGTTATTTTCTTTCAGAATGTGTGCTCCAATAACAAGGAACTTTTCTTAGAATTTTTGCTTTTCTCTCTTACTCTCTTCTCTGTTTTTTTTTTTTTAAGGACATCTCCCTCTTTATTTACATCTCCTCTTAGATTTTTATTTATTATTAATTTATTTATAAAAAAAACTTTCACTATCTCATTTGTCCCTTATTTTTTGATAGCCCACTCAATCAAATTTTATCCACCCATCCAACTTCCCAAGAAATCTACTAATTATCTCTAAACTTTTTTTAATTTTTAAAACCTCTCAATTAGTTTTTATCCACTTTCTTATCCATTCATCTAACCTCACAAAAAAAAATTACCCATTATTTTTAAATTTTATTATTCTTATTATTTTGGAACAAACTTCGAAATAAAATTAGTTATTGAAACACAGCAACAATATCCTAACCAGAGAGACAGAGAAAGGGACAAAAAGAACCGACACACAACTACTAGATGAATGCAATATAAACCTACCTTTTAAAAATTAATCGATGAATTGAATCTAATCGGATTATCATTTAAATATCTAGTCCCAATTTAGGAATACATGATTCGTTCTTGGATTACGCAAGCAATAACAATTACATTGTCTGAAAATGGTGATAAATGATTCTTCATAATGCCATAATTATCACTACCAGCAAGAGTGTTGAATTTACCAAACTAGTTTTAAGGCTACACAAATTTTTTTATAAATTGTAAATTAATATTGAAGACTGTCTAGAGCAACAAATTCAAAAAATTACTTTATATAAACTTCTTCATTAATAACATTACAGAGAAAAATATTTTTTTGTCAAGTTGTCGTAGAGGCCAATTGTGTATGGTAAACATAGATAAGAATAAACACTCAGAAGCCATTCTAGCCACTGGAAAGGTGTCGGCGTGTTGCCATACTTCAAACCAAAATCCTGAGTATTTAGGCCAATAAATGGGTTTTAAGGCGATCAACAAATGTAGAATGAGAAGGTACCAACAAATCCATAGACCAACAACTGTAGAATGAGAAGTTGATGCAACTTACGTGATGGAATAGGGAGACTATCAATAACTCGTTGATTATAGGAATATCGAGGGATTGAGAAATATTCAAAACTTCATTAATTAATCTACCTCTTTCATAGGCCTTTGATGCCAATATATAAGATCAGCAAAACTACTAGAATCCTAACAAACTGATCCTAACAAATTGATAAATATAAATCTTCTTAATTAAAAGAAAGATAAAGATCCTAACAAACTGATAAAAATTAAAAAAACTACTTGAAAGATAAAAACATAGATATGGTTGTTAGCCACTTTGCATGACATCATTCTCCCCAAGATGAGAAAGATTCGCCCTCGAATCGAACAATGGCTCATCAACAGAAGTATTGTCACCCGAGAATGGAATAAGATGTTTCACATTGAAAACATCAAATGTGTGAACGTGACTTGGCAATTGCACACGATATGCATTCTGATTTATCTTCTTAGTAATTTCCACAGGTCCTATTTTACGGGCAACAAGTTTGTTATAGTCATGAGCTGGGAAGCGATCCTTAGTAAGAATAGCCCAAACAAGGTCACCAACCGAAAAGTCTACAGATCGACGTTTTTTATCAGCATGTACCTTGTATTTGTCCGTAGATATGATTAACTGGGAATGAGTTTGTTGATGAATTTCACAAAGCTGTTCAATAAACTCCTTAACTGTAGCATGTGTGTGCACATTACTAGAGAGAGTCAACAGGTCTAGTGAGCCACGTGGGACGATCCCATAGATGACCTAAAAAGGACTAAATCCAGTGCTGCGATTAACTGCATGGTTGTGGGCAAATTCAGCTTAAGAAAGTTTAACATCCCAAGATTTAATATTAGCACCGACCAATCTGCGTGGTAAATTACCAAGTGACCTATTCACAACTTCAGTTTGTTTGTCAATTTGCAGATGATACGCATTACTGAAGTTTAGGGAGGTGTTAGCTGATCTCCACAAGCTTCGCCAAAAATGGCTTAGAAACCATGTGTCTCCATCAGAGACAATGGAAGTTGGTAAACCATGTAAATGATAGATGTTGCAAAAGAAAAGTTGCGCAACTTGAACAGAATCCATTGTGCATTTACAGGGAATGAAGTGCGCCATTTTTTAAAATTGATCAACGACAACAAAGATAGAGTCGTGACCACAGTGCGTACACAGAAGGCCAAGCACAAAGTCCATGTTGATATTTGTCCAAGGTTGAGTGGGAATAAGAAGTGGCATATATAACCCATCATTAGAAGAAGTACCTTTTGCCATTTGACAAACACGACAACGATTCACAAATCGTTCTACCTCCTTGCACAATGTGGGCCAATAATAAGTGCTGTTGACAATATGCAAAGTACGATTGCGACCCACATGACCTTCATTATGCAATTCCTGAATGATTTTCAGCCATAAACTACATGATGGAACGCAAAGTTGGAGCCCAAGAAAAAGAACACCATCTTGTAGAACAAATTCAGTGCGCTCACCACGTTGTATTTTGAATAGAATTGCAGCAAAAAAAGGGGTCACTGATATATAACTTCATAAAAGAATCAAAGCCTGGAATTGTGATGCACATCTCAGCAAGGAGATTATGACGACGACTTAAAGCATCAACCACCCTATTAGAAACACCAGCTTTATGCTTGATAACAAATGTGAATTGTTCCAAATAGGCATGCCAAGATGCATGTCTAGCAGAAAGCTTATCTTGACGACTTAGGTATTTAAGAGCATCATGATCAGTAAAGAGGACAAATTCTTGCTGGAATAAATAATGGCGCCAGTGTTTTACTGCCTGAAATATGGCATAAAATTCCACATCGTAATTTCGTGCTATAGTAGGCGACGGGTCGTCCCGCTTGACTTAAAACAGCACCAAAACCAGTTTTTGAAACATCACAGTGAAGTTCAAATGGTTAAGAGAAATCAGGAAGTACTAATAGTGGTGGTGAAGTCAGTTTCTGTTTGATAGTAGTGAAGGCAGCTGCAGCGTCATCTGTCCAAGTGAATTTAGTGTTCTTCATGCAATCAATGATGGGTGCCATAATGCTACTAAAATGAGGTATAAAGAGTCGATAAAAGGATGCCAAGCTGTGAAGGCTATGTGCTGCAGTGAGAGAAGTTGGTTCAGGACATTGAGCGATGATGGCAACTTTGGTACTATCTACAGCAAGGCCATCCTTAGAAACCACATACCCTAGAAATTTAATAGTATTAGACATAAACACGTATTTTTGGACAGCTACGTAGAACTATTCCTACGTAAGACCATTAGAACTTCACGTTAATGTTGGAGGTGGAGTTCAGGAGTAGCACTATAAATAAGTATGTCATCGAAATAGACAACAACGTGTTTTCCAATAATTGGTGCTTGTCTGATGCATAACACGCATAAATGTGCAAGGGGCATTAGAAAGGTCAAGCAGCATCACCAACCACTCATATAAGCCTTCACGAGTTTTGAAGGCAATTTTCCATTCATGTTTGCTGAAAATTGTGGCGCCAGCTAACTGATCAAGTAGGTCATCCAAGCAGGATACAGAAAAATGATAGCGGACAGTGATTTTGTTAATAGCACGACTGTCCACACACATGCGCCATGTACCATCTTTCTTTAGAGTCAATAAAGCCGAAATAGCACAAGGACTCAAGCTCTCTCTAATATTTCCTTTAGCCAACAAGTCCTCCACTTGTCGACGAATTTCAGCATGTTCTTTGGGACTCATTCTGTGTCGATGTGGCTCACCACATGAGTTTTGTGAGGTGGTGGAACTGAGAATAGAATTAAAGGTCGACCGGCGAGACAATTGTTTTTCAGCTTGTAACGCCATAGGATCAAACATGTTAAGAACACAAAGCTGGACGTGTAGATCACCAATGTACTTAGAGACAATCTGAATCGGTGATTCTGCAGTTTTGGTGCAAGCAAGGTATAAAATTCCATAGTATACTCGTCTACCGATCATGTTCTTTGACGAATGAGTTGAAGGCGTTGATATAACTCGCGCTCAAGGTTATATGGAAGAAAAGCGAGTCGTAAGTGCTTTTTAAACTTTTCCCAGGATGTAATTTTAGTCTTGCCTGACAAATTCATCCTTTCTTGAGTTGTTGCCACCATGCTTGTGCTCTTCTGCGAAGCCGCATGGTAATCAAAGGAACCCGATGGGTGTCTAGTATCCCCTTAAACTCCAGGATTTCTTCAACAGTGTTTAACCAATCCAAGAGATCATCCGCTTGAAGATCACCGTGAAATTCAGGAATATCAACTTTAAACCCTACTTCCCAACGACGATGATTTTTATTGTGGTAAGCAAATGGGTTGTCATTAGACATAGTAGTGGAATAATCGGGCTCTGACTGTGATTGATTATGCTGGTTTGCCTCTTGGAGGGCAGCTAATTGATGCGTCAATTGTTCAACTTGAGATCATAATTTGGCAATCTCATCTTGTAGCAGTACGTTGTTATGGTTGGCATAAGCCCCACGTCTCCTTGGTGGCATTGTGCAGGAACGACCGAGGTCTCTGAATACCAATCTGATGCAGCGTACATGATGGAATACGGAGACTATCAATAACTCGTTGATCTAAGAATACCGAGGGATTGACACAAGGATATTGAGAAATATTCAAAACTTTATTAATTAATCTGCCCCTTTCATAGGCCTTTGATGCCAATATATAAGATTAGCAAAACTACTAGAATCCTAACAAACTAATCCTAACAAATTGATAAATATAAATCTTCTTAATTAAAGGAAAGATAAAGATCCTAACAAATTGATAAAAATTAAAAAAACTACTGGAAAGATAAAAACATAGATATGACTGTTAGCCACTTTGCATGACATCAGAAGGTACCAACAAAAGAATGGTCAATGTGCATAATGGAGGTCGTGGAACCAAAAACCCTAACGATCTTCATACCAACGAAAGAAGCATTGAGGATATTAGTGGAGAGTGGTACAATGATAAAGTTAGCAAAAACAAAGACATCAGCCTTGGAAAGGGTTGAAGATGCCATCAGTAGCCAACGGGAGAGAGAAAGAGGCCCCAGATCAAGTAATGCTGGTGAACACTAATACCGGCGAACAGTGATGCTAGAATAGTACAACAATGAATAGTGACTGATAGAGGAAGGACTAGAAACCGAAATTGAAGCAGAGTTTTCAGGGAAAGAAAAATCACCAATGTTGGTTAGCTCACCAGGTACGCACAGATTTGAGATTATCCTTTTGCTAGACTCTAGATACTATGTTAAAAAAGAAAAGGAAAAAGCATTGATATGAAATCATGTCTCTCAACTACACAACCAGGTTGAATATTTATATTGATGATAATAATAATATAGCAATAATTATAAAATATACAGTTACTTAATTACCATAATTACAAATATACTAATTTCTCTAATAATTAACATATTTACACATATTTAACATTGTTTAAAGTTTACCCAAGGAGTAAGCAAATACTAGTTAGTAATCAGGAATACCTTAATATGCGGTGCATAACATTCTGGTAATCCAACAATCTTCAGTATCTACAAAATGGATAGGTGTAACCAAAAGAAGGTTTAGAGACAGCAAAGTGATTCTTCCAGGTTTCATTGACTAGAGCAAAGATTTTTCGTGGTTTCTATTTTTAGTAGCCGTCAATATTTAAAAAATGAATCTTCCTATTCTTCAACAACAAAATAGTTTTATCTTGGAAATTGAAATTGAGAATGACTGAGTCAGTAGAAAATTACTAAAGCATTGCAATTATAAATTTTTGTTTTATATTACATTTTAGATTTATAGAGAATAAGATATTTCACAAAATAATATATATATATATATATATATATATATATAATAATATGGACCAACTAAAGAGGATTTATCAGAAAAAGAAATTAAAACAATAAATGAGAAAGAATCAAAAGATTACAGCTGTTATAAAAGGATTTTCTGTTGTGGCATTTGAAAATAATTTCAGAAGTATTTTTCATACTATATCCTATTTTTGAGAAGCCAAGCTAAATTATGAATCTCAGAGGTTAAAATTCAAAGCATAAGAGTTTTGAAATCCAAATTACAAACAAAACCAAAATTAACAGTTTTAATAAAAGGGTAGCAATACCTTTCACCCATCTCATATTGCTTCAATATTAGGTTTGGGATATGAGCAATTTTGTGCCAATCTGCACCTGTTGCTTTCTGGCATTTTTCATGTAAGAGAGGACAATCCCAAATTTCTAGTGTGAATAAGCTGGTAAGGAGATGCATTTCTTTCGGCAACAACTTCAAATTACGACATCCCAGTATCTTCATATGTTGAAGTGATTGCAACTTACAAATCTCATTTGGCAAAGCTTGTATTTCACAATCATATACCATGATTTTTAGCAGTGAACGGGGACATGCCACGAACCAATCATCAAGTTTTTCAACATCCCCAATTTCAAGATATTCAAGAGAAGTAAGGCTTTGCATCCATTGGTTTGGCAAATCTTTTATACCCAGAATTTTTCCTTCTATCTTTAGGGACTTGAGATTGGAAAGGGGAGTGAAGGAGGAGGATGCTGTGCCAAGTGTTTCCCTCAAAGGTTCCACTGTGGATGAATGCAACTGCAACTCCTCAAGAAGGTGCGGAAAAGTAGGCATGAAAGTCAACTTTTGACATTCATTGATTATTAATTCAGAGAGACGAGGAAACGAAGGCAGTGAGAGATGATGTGGATGGAAAGTATGGCCATCATCTATCACCTCCCATCCCGAGAGATTCTCACAATTATTAAACTTGAGCCTCTCCAAAGATGGGAAGAACTGTAATGCAGTCAGAGAAACCATTTTACAATGTATGCACGTCAAATCTTTCATGTAACTTATCTCAAGAGACTTGAGGGATGGGAGAAGCTCTAACGGTGGGAGATACTGGCATTTATCAAAGCCAAAGAGAGTGATATGAGAAACATGAGTGATTGAAGAAAGCCAATCAGAGAACGTTACACCTGGATACCACCACACATTCAATTCTTTTAGATGTTGAGGGGGACAAAGGTTTTTTAATAGTTGTTCACTGCTACTATTATAGTTCCAATGCCCCCAATTCAAATCCAAGGATTCAAGAAGTTTCTTGTCTTTCAAATTCAATTCCTGTGATTCTAAGGTCACGTCTCTCACCTTGCCAAGTCCACGAATCTCTAAATTGCCTCTTAGGCCATTTAAGTTTTTCAATTCATTCAACTTACCAACTTCATTCTTTTGATCATCCCCCACAACAAAGGTTGATAAGAATTGCAATGATGACAATTTCCCTAATCCAGCTGGCACCATGTCTTCAAATGCTTTACAAAAGCGAATATCTAGGTATCTCAAATTGATTAACTTTGTGATAACTTTTGTAGAAAATTCAAGTCGCTCACAACCAATCAGTTTTAATGTTTGCAAGTTAACAAGACTGCCAATGGAATTGGGAAGACTCACTAGATTTCTACAGAAGGACAAGTCAAGATATCTTAAATGTTTCAACTTGTTGATTGGACCAGGCAACTCCTTTAAATAAGTATTGGATAGATTCAAGGCATGCAAGCAGCTACGTCTAAAAATAAAAGACAGACAGTCTGCCAATTCAACTGCCACCAATTCATTTGTTTGGAGCAGAAAAAATGTCCGCAGCCAACTTGCATCTAATGAACCCACCAAATGAATCACATTTGATTCCAATGAGACGTGCATGGGATGATAATTAGGGTATGCTATTTCACTCAGCAAGCAACAAACATCACCTGCTACATACTGTGCAAGATCATGAATTAAGTCGTGCATTTTGAAACTTAAAACATTACCATATTTATCAAATTTTGCAGCTTCGAAAAACGACTTCATTAAAAGAGTATAAACCAATTGATTGCCCACTTCTTCCATGTCCTCTATTTCAAATTCAAGGTAGCCCTGTGCCATCCATAATTGAATCAACTCATTCTTTTCTATTTCCCAATCTTTAGGGTATATGGAGCAATAAGCAAAACATTGTTTCAACTGAGGTGACAACTTTTGATAACTCAATTTCATAACAGACATGATGCCATCACCAACATCACCAAGTAGATTCTGCTTTCTCAAATCATTTTCAAATTCCTTCCATTCAGTCTGATGTAAAGACCTAAACATGCCTGCCGCTAATCGAATTAGTAGGGGAACTCCATGACAGATGGCTAGAATGCTTCTACGAATTGATTCCAATTCAGGGCTCATTCCTTCAGCACTATTTTCAAATGCTAAATTCGTAAACAAAGCCCAGGAGTGTTCGTAAGTCAACAAATCTAAATCAAATACAGTTTCCACTTCCATTACAGTGGCAACCATCCTGCTTCGAGTTGTTACCAAAATCTTACTGCCTGGAGCACCACACATCAAAAGAGATCTCAATTGAATCCATTTACCATGATTCTCGTTCCAAACATCATCCAACACTAAAAAATATCTTTTCCCATTCAAATTTTCACGAAGCCTGTTACACAAGTCTTCAAGTGATTCCTCATCATCACTTGAGCTACCAGTTATCGATTCTAACATTTTCTTAACAGTAGTTTTGAAATTAAAATCATCAGAAACGTGCACCCATATTGATAATTCAAACAAACTTTTGACTTTTTCACTGTTGTATACACATAGAGCAACAGTTGTCTTACCTAGACCACCCATACCAACAACAGCAATCAACGAAACATTTTGGTCTGGATGCACAGTAGACAGGCTATGCAAAATTGCTACTACAGTACTCTCTCTTCCAACGATTTGGCGTTCTATCACAAAAGAACTTGTCTGCCGCGTTTCACTCTCAAAAGGTCTTGGATTTAGCATCAAATTACGCGGACTGTGAACTACGACATCGATTGACCCCAGCATCTCGTTTACTTCACGAGCCACTCGACAACGAAGAATAATTGGATTTGAGGATGAAAAAAAGCGACATACCTTTGTCACTATTTTGTTAGGATCATCCACTTTGAGACGCAAATGTTCAGTAGCAATACCATCCAACAAATCATCAGCAGCAACAATCGCCCCTTTGAAATGTCTGATCCATTCTTTTACAGCCTCATTCTCTTCTTGTTTTCCATCGGCATCAAGTAGCACAGAATTGATGGATTCAATTGTCTGCTTCAGCCTTTCCAACTGACCCGTGACACCATAAATCTGTCCAATTTCACAGAAGGCTGGCGAAGCCAACCTTTTGACTAGGTTTATAGCTACAGCGAAAGGAATTTGCTCAAGCTTGCTCATCCTTTTCAATGATTGAGAAAGTAGATCAGAGAAGAGCAAAACGCAACTCGCCGCAGCAAGTCACTGACTTTATGGATCCTCTCGAGTCAACTGGATCTGAATACCTTGGCCCAACCCAGATAATCTACCAACTAAACGGATCAGCCCAACAGGGCCAAGCCCAAATTTTCACCCCTATATTTAGGGTCATCGTCTTATTCAATAATAAATTCACGATAGACACCCGTGAAATCGGAAATCTTAAACAATGCATCAATTCGTCAACTCATTAAAATATTTGTTTGGATGAATGTTAGATTAAATTAAGTATAAATTTATTTCAACGATATGAATTATAAATTTTATATAACAATATAGTTTATCGTAATTCAATTAAAGCATACACTAAATATATTTCCTATCAATCGTACACATTTTATACATATATTATCTTCGACTTCTCTTTATTAATTTATACTGCACCTAAAACATGAGTGTGAACTAATATTTATTGGTATAATATAGCATCAACTTGGCCGTGGCTTACGGGACCAAAGGTTGATTACACTGTTTTCTAAAAAGACTGAAACAAAACAAAGTCTTCGGATGTATATATATTGTGATGGGAATGATGGTGACCCTTGGATCTGCGTAACTGGTTAGCGACCCTAATGCGTTGACTCAGTGGTAATTCAGAAATGAAAGTCTCCAGGTGAGATTGGGTTAACCGGGGATAAGCACAATGGATGCTTCACCAATCAACAGCGTAGCGTTGACAGGGATCGTTCTTGAACCGGTTTCAAGAGCTAATTACGAAGAATGGAGGGCGCTAGTGAAAAACTACCTAGAGGGTCAAGCTCTCTGGAACGATGTCCTTACGCTTGGTGTTGAACCCGATTTTGACAACCCCCATTGGAAATCAAAAAATGCCAAGGCCTTACACGCCATTCAACTCTCGTGCGGCTCTCGAGCTCTTCCCTATATAACACACTGCGAAACAGCGAAAGCGGCTTGGAATATTTTAATGGCCCTCTTTTTGGGATAAGAAAAATTTTTGAAGTTAAAAATTATTTTGTAAAAAATTTTATTTCGAAAAAATTTTGAGGGTTAAGAAAGAGATAAAAAGAAGCCTGGACTTAATATTCTAAGTCCATAAAACTGAAGGCTTTTTCGAGGAGTTTTTAGGAGTTTTCAAATCACTGACACCTAAAACTACTCAAAAAATAAAACTGGCAAGAAAAATACTCAAGTCCACAAAATTGATGGCTTTTCAAGGAGTTTTGAAGAGTTTTCAAGTTCTTAACACTCAAAACTGCTCGAAAAACAGAACTAACAGGAAAATATTCTAAGTCTACAAAAAACTGATGGCTTTTCGAGGTGTTTTAAGGAGTTTCCAAGTTCCTGACACCCAAAACTGCTCGAAAAAATAGGAAGTGGTCAGAAAATATTCTAAGTCCACAAACCTGGCTGATCTCCAGAGTTCCTCCAGAATTACTCGAAAAATAGGAAGCGGTAAGAAAATATTCTAAGTCTACAAATCTAGCTGAGCTCCAGATTCCCTCAAGAATTGCTCGAAAAAATAGGAAATGGACAGAAAATAGTCTAAGTCCAGAAACCTGGTTGAGCTCCAGTCCCTCCAGAATAGCTTGAAAAATAGAAATGGACAAAGAAAATACTCTAAGTTCACAAGACCAAGAAAAACTCTAAAAAACTCCAGAATGGCTCGAAAAGAGAAATCAAGAAGAAACTATTCCAAGGCCAAAATATTAAAGGAGTCTCTCAAGTTTCTCCTAGAAATACTCGAAAGAGAGAAAAACAAGAGTCTTGATAGGTTAAGTCATTAACGGTTACCAGCAGTTATCAACATTCACCACTACACGAAGGAGATCGTGGGCGATAGCGGTTACGAAAGAAACCCCAACCAACAACACGATCATGAGCAATCGTGGATAATGGGCATCAACAGTTGAAGGTAGTTACTAAGAAGTACCCGCAAAAGGAGAAGAACAATAGTGGTCTCCATGTCTATAAATACTCCAAAGCACCATTCTACAAAGGACGACTTTTTGCACCCAGATACCGCACCTAAACTCTCTGAGACGCTGAAACCCTGCACCGCACCAGACACCAGCTACAAGGAGACCCACAGTGGCCGCTGTCCGCTGTTGTGAGGAGTTGTACGTTTACATTCCAGCAATTATTTACATTCCTGCATTTACATTCCTACATTTCAATTCAAGTTTCTTTGTTTAAATTGCTTTTGTTCCTTTTCCTGCAATTCGTTTCCTATTTTATATCCTTTTGTAACAAACTTCTACGGAGTGATTCAGTTTTACGCATTTAATATTCACTATTATTGCCAAATTGCATGATTTACGCGTCCAATTCACCGTCACGTTAACAACACACTTAAAAGAACCCAAAGAGGACCTAAATTCAGTCCCCAGATTGATCTTTGGATTATTTATTTACAAATTGTCATTTTTCACCGTAAACACCCTCTTCGGTCCCGCGAATTTAAGGCTCCGCAGCCGCATTGATATTAATGACATAGAGCAAGGACTGCATGCTTCTACTGAGTACAATGTTCAAAATCTCCACAATGCAGTGAGGAATGGCTTGTTGAATGAGGCAAGATTAGTTATCCAGCGTCATCCAGATCTTATTTACCGTACCCCCAATACCAATAACTACAGAACCCTTCTTCACACTGCGGTGGTTGCAAGACAGGATGAAATTGTGAAATATTTAGTTCAAATTTGGAATGATCAGTTGCTGCTGTTGAAAGTTGCTCAATTCAGTAAAAATGTTGAAATTGCAAAGTTGATGATTACGAAAGGAGGGGTTGAGCTCCTAGCGGAAGAGAATAGGGATGGTGAAATTCCAGTGCTTATTGCTTCTGCTAAGGAACACAAAGAAATGACTCGTTACCTTTTTCATTGTACTCCTCGCTCCGTCTTGATGAACCAGAACAATAACTTCCATTATGCCTCTAGCTTCTTGCACGATGTATCTCTGCTCAATTATTCGGTATACCTTTCTCTATTCTTTACTTCTTTCACTCTTTCTTTTTACGTTTAAATTTCGTCTTTAACTTCAAATCAAATATATTCAAATTTAAATTTAGTTCATGTCATATTCTATTTTTTAGTTTTTATATATATTTTAAAATTATTAGTTTTAACATCTTTTATCTTTTACTTGTATGACTTCAAAAATTTTACAGGTAAAAATATATAGTTACCTCATTATTATTTTTTAATAAGTTACCTTGTTATTTAAGAGTAATCAAATATTTAAAATATCACAATTATAATGACCAAAATTAAAATATTTAAATTTTTGAATAGTCGCTATAAAAGTAATTTTTAAGTAGTATATATATATATATATATATATATATATATATATATATATGTATATATATATATATATATATATACTATTAAAAAAATATTTTTATAGCTAAGATTGTGCGTGAAAATTAGTAATATATAGTAGGTTTTTAACATCTGTTCTTCATCCTGCAGAAGTCAAAAGTAAATTTTTTATTAAAAAATATCATAAATATATTTATTTATAACTTTTAATATGATTTTACACGATTTTTAATAAAAAAATATTTCTCATTTTTTAACCAATGTTTTCTGTACAATTTTTTAAAGTTTGTTTGTATCCCTGTCAAGAATCGATATTTTTTCAAATTGATTTCTTTCCCTTCTCCAAAATTTGATTAAAATTCGTGTTAACTTGGTTTTAGCTTTTAAACACAGAGGCTCTTAACATATTCATTCTTATTAGGTAAACTTTTAGACGAATATCATTAATATTTGAAATTAATTTTTATCGTCAATCAACTTCTTTCAACTTCTTCCTTCACTGGCCCTGGCAATGGAATAGCAAGTTCGATTGATTTGACTTTTGCATTTTCTTCTCGTTGTATAAAATATGGAACAATAATAGAGGAATAGAAAAACACAAAAGGTGCCATTGAGATTTACGAAATCCACCCCACCCCACTGGCAATTCAAATTTTCCAAATTTAATTTGCCGGAAAAATATGGATATGTAGTAGCTAGCTCCTTGGCCAAGCCATTCGAACCAAATGCAAATGCAAACACTTTATGGGTCAGAATTGAAAAAGACAATTGAATTTTAAATATTTTAAAATATCATAATTAAATTTTAACAAATCTTTTTGTAAAAATTAACTTTAAATAGTGTTATTTTTATAAAGATAAAAATATAATTAAGTTAAAAAAATACAATAATGATATGCAATGTACATATTTAACGTTACTTAAGGAGATAAAATATTTATTATTATCATTTAATCATTAATTAAAAAATAGGTACTGTTTAATTATATTTGTTGGCCCTTAATTAAAAAAAAATATGAATGATTACATTTTATTTACAGATGTTGCCGCAACCGAGACAACCAAGCTATAAATTTAGACTTTTGATTGTTCTTATTGTGCTTTAGCTTAGGTCCCTTCTGCAGTTTATTTATGATAGTATGTTCACTTTTCATCTTACCAGTTATGTTGATCATACTTAACATAGTATATAACTGCCGTAATTAGAAATATGAATAAATAGTTTCTTCAATTTCTAATTTTATGATTTTTTTTAAATTTTTTTATTTGGACGTGACTGTAGAGTATTTATTAAGATGAATAAGCAGTTTTGTTCCTGCCTTTTTCAATCAAATATCCAACATAATATTGAGTTTAGTTGACTTAAAAAAAAGTAATAAGTAAAACATTTTCAGAAAAAATTATTAAAATTTAATTTAGATAAAATTTTTAATAAAAATTTATAAAATTATTTTTATAATTTAACATTAATTTATATTTTTTTATTTCTTAAAAATTTTCTCATTTAACTTTTCTTAAGATATAAGAAAATAATTTGTTCATATGAAAAAAAATTATTTATATTTTATATTAAATTTTTGTTTTATATGAACTTTTTAAAATATTTATCCAAATCGAACCTAAATTATTTTTTAAAAAATTAAGAATTTAATAATTTAAATTTTGTTTAAACTTAATATCATTA